ATAAAACTAGATTGTACCAAGAAGCCCTAAGAAAAGTTTTAGTGTGGATAAGAGCAAGTGAGTGCCAAGACGGGCAGGGCTGAGGGACAGGATGGTAAAAAGGGGGCCAAGGCCGCGTGAGAGCATCTTGGTCACCTTCTAGGAAGCACAGAAGCAATCATGATAGGATCTAACTCAGGTAGACTTCTTGCTAGAGAAGAGAGACAAGCCAGGTTCTTTCTACCTTAATTAACTGCACATTCTTTCTTGCTCTGAAAGGGCAAAAGCTGTGTTCTTGACCCACTCAACTCTCTCCCTGAGTCTACTTGATAAGCTCCCCATGCCCTTTCTTGGGGCCTCCTGCTGCTACGAAATTACTTTGTGGAAATGGAATGAAATATTGGGAAGCATCAGTATTTTACATTGAGTAAAAAGTGGTGCACACAAACCAGAGGGTGGCAGGTATTTTAGTGCAAGGATGGAAAAATGTGAAAACCCACTGAAAGGAGAGTTGTTTGCCATAGGAGTTACTTTCCCAGACACCTGGGTGGCTCAATGGTTGAGCATCTGTCTTCAGCTCAAAGCATGATCCTAGGGTGCTGGGATTGAGTCCCACTTCAGGCTCCACACAGGGAACCTGCTTCTCCCTCTGCCTATGTCTCTGCCTCTCTCTGTGTCTCTCATGAATAAATAAATAAAATCTTAAAAAAAAAGAAGTTATTTCCCTCTCAGACAATGGTTCAGTCTCTTTAGGGAGATGAATCCACATAATTCTGTGCTATTACTCCGGGTTGGCTTAAAGGGGATGGTGAAGAGCAAGGACACTTGTTTGTCTGGATCTCATGTGACTTGCACAAAAAAAAAAAAAAAAAAGGCTGTCACAAAATGTCATCTTTCACCAAAGTTGGAGTCCTGGTGGTGAGGAAAAGTGGCAAAAAAAAAAATTCCTCAATAGAGGAAGAGAATATATCCTCACTTGTGTGTGTATTTTAATGTGTATGTGCATATGCACATATAAGTATGTGTAGAGCTATGTGTGTATACATGTGTGTATTATATAAATGTGTGTATTTATATACATACATATATAAAATTTCATATTTTCTCCATAAGATTCAGGGCAACAGGTAGCTCATTATTACCATTTACAGATGGGAGAGCCCAAGTGCAATAAAATTAAGAGAACTGCCTGTGTTTTCTTTAGCTTGTTTTATATTTTATTTATAGCATATACCAATGCCATTATTTTTGAACTGCAATTTGCAATCACATCGGTACCAAATGTGGAAAACTGATGGCATCTTGCGGACTGGTCCAGAGTCCCTTTCTCGCTCAGAAAGGGGAAGGAAAAGTGGTCATACAGTTTTGTATTTTTTGTTTTTAGGATTTTATTTATTTATTTATTTATTTATTTATTTATTTATTTATTTATTTATTTATTTATTTATTTATGAGAGACAGAGAAAAAGGCAGAGACACAGGAAGAGGGAGAAGCAGGCATCCGGGGGGAGCCCGATGTGGGACTTGATCCCAGGACCCCGGGATCATGCTCTGAGCCAAAGGCAGACACTCAACCACTGAGTCACCCAGGTGTCCCTGGCCTTTCTTAGTCACCATGACTACAAAGAACCCTGTGGTAAAATAATATTCAGGCGCATTTTTCTTTCTCTAAGAGAGTGGCCTAGCTTCCATAGGAGTTAAGAAAGAAATCTGCAAACCCATTTGCAGAGACAGGAAAGCCCTGCTTTGCACTGTGGCATTTCTATGTGTCGTCATCTCCCTCCCGGACCTGCCGGGATTGTGCAATGTTCTCTCTGTTGAGATGGCAGGGTTACAAGAACATGTAGTTTAAACCCCACCGTTTGTGAAGGATGAACGTTATTTTGGAGTCTGGGAAGCTTCAAAATAATTTGATTGCCTTCTGGGTTTTGTCTCATTAGGTAAAGGCAAAAAAGTTTTAGTTGCTATTTTGAACCAACATACAGCTTGTGCTTTAATTAAAACAAGAAGCAGGCTCATGACCAGAGGGGAAAATGATGAGACAGAGAGAACAGATGATGTCAGAGGGCCACAGCTAGAGAGGAAGAAGAGCAGTTGTGAGCTTGGGCATCTTTTTGGTAAACATCTTTTTTCAAATGTATTGTGCATTTTCCTCCCCACTCCTGCCACTCAACCAGGGAAGAGACGTCAGGGCTGTCAGAGATGGAGATTATGGAATCCTGAAAGTAATGGCATGTTTATGGGGGACTGACTATATTCTTTTTATGCCAGTGAATGAGCAAGTTGAACACACCTACTTTTACAAACATCAGCTTCTAAATAGCCTCCATTTGTCTTTTTTTAAAAAGATTTTATTTATTCATGAGAGACACAGAGAGAGAGGAAGAAACACAGGCAGAGGGAGAAGCAGGCTCCTCGCAGGGAGGCCTGATGTGGGACTTGATCCTGGGACCGGGATCACACCCTGAGCCGAAGGCAGATGCTCAACCGCTGAGCCACCCAGACGTCCCTCCATTTGGCTCTTAAAGCAGTTGTAACATTTATTGCTGCTAGTTTACCTAAACAGGCAGAGAACAATCATTTCAATATTAAAGAGATCATCACTGCTTTCCCCATTCTTAGTATCTAAGAATACGGTCCTGGCACATTTAAAGGACTGAGCCTGGATCCAACAGAGCTATTATAAAATAATCTGCTATGTTATAGAGGTTGCCATATTAGAGCTTTTTAAAATTTCATGTGGTTAAAAAAAAAAATGCAACAGGATTGCTTACTCTCAGTACTACCAGCATTGTAGGTCAGGTATTTGTTACAGGGGACTTTCCTGTGCATTTTAGATTGTTCAGAAGCATCCCTGGTGTCTACCCACTAGATGCCAGTGGGACCCCTCCCCAACCATGACAACCAAAAATGTCCCTGGGCATTGCCAAATGATCCCCTGGGGAGTGGGTAAAATCAACCCTGAAGACCACTGCAGTAGACTATATTCATCCAGGGAGGCAGTCAAGTACTGCACCCAGAGCAGGAGTTCCAGAGACAGAGCGCTTCCAGTGAGCTGGGTGGCCCTGGACAAGATGGGCAACACTTCCATGCTTTGGTATGCTCATCTGTAAAATGAAGATCATGATACATTTCTACCTCCCAGGACTGTTGCATGGATTCAACAAGATCCTGCCTCTCCTCAAGGGAGCGATCAGTAAGTGCGCGCCATTACTGTTTCAACCATTCCATGGCTGCCATTTCTTTCCTTCTGATTTAATTGTGAAGGCAGGTTAAAGATCCAAACAATAGAAACCTATTGAAAGTGGATGGGGGAAAGGCTTGAGGGCAGCTACACAATTACAAATGGACTATCTTTATTAATGTTTCCGAAGTGGTCAAGTTGTAGAAGCTGGACTCACATAATTCTGTATCCCTGACTTGCTAAACGGTGCCAGCTATTGCTTAACACGCTTTATTATCTTTCAAGCGGAGATCCCTAATTCATCAAAATTATAGGCTGCCGGCAGATGATTCTTCTGTAAATACAAATGCTCTATTGTATTTTAAAAGGAAAAAAAGTCCTGACGTGATGCCTGGTTCTCTCCCTTGAGTTCTTTCTTCACCATTGGTCATGTAAATATTATTGTTATTATTCACTGAAATAATAACACAAGCTACTTTACGAGCAACTTACTGTATGCCAAGCAAAGTGCTCCATGTATATTATTGGGTCACTCAATCCTCAAAACAGCCTTAAAAGTTAGGTGGGTATCTTGGGAGAGGCAAAGTTATCATGCACAGTCAGCAAAGGCCAGAGCAAAGGAGGGAGCTGACTGCTGCCTCCCAAAGCCTATGCTCTTAAAAATTTTTCATTATCAAAGCTAAGAGAGCTACTCTGAACTCCTAATCATAATGCATGTTTCCTCTTCTTATAATGAGGATCAATAAGGACTGTTTGGAAGCTAAAACAGGGAGAGGCTGGATTTACATTCCCCTGGTACCCAAAGACTCATCCAGGGTCAGATAAAGCAGGTCATTCATCAGACTCACCCTAGTAATCCAGTGCTTACAGATAATGCAAATTTTACTTCAAAATGAATACCAAAGTAGAGAAATTACTCCATTGCCAGAGGTGTGTGAAAAGAAGCTTAACTTTTTGAGACCATTTCTAGTGGTGACCCAAAGCTCCATGCCCTGAGAGAGTGATGGAAAGTAGCTTCCAGACCATGGAGGTGCTGGGAAGAAAAGTTAAACGGCTCGTTCAGAAACATCAACCTTTCCATCATTCCAATCCAGCTGGGGGCTGAGAAACCAACCTGGCTGCCAGTTGGCCCCTGTGGCAGAATTAACTGTGTGGCCCAGGGTAAATCACAATCAGCTCTAGCCAGGCTTTGTACAGAGAGGACCCCTCAGAGCCACCTTGGGGTAAGCTGGAGGCAGCAGGAAGTTGGTGGCTATTGTGGGAATGAAGCAGCTTTACAGGATTAAGCAGGGCCTCAGAGAGCAGGTGGTCCAGTCCTTATCAACACATGACTCTTTCTCAGCATTTCCCAAAAGCATCCAACCTGTGCACTGATACCTAAAATGACTGGAAGGATTCCTCTTATTGTTCATCAGTTAATAATTTGGCCTTCCGTGTCCTTGTGAACTCCAGAGAACGCTGGCTGTGGCAAAGCCAATCACATAAAGGGAATTATCACTGATAGGGTTAATTATGGGCTATCCACAGGCACTTTATATGTTTACTCAATGAATAATTTTGACAACAAGGAAACCTATTAGGAAGGGGAGGCTCAGTAAGGCCAACTGTCTTTCCCACTCCACCCCTCCCCCACCACACACACACACCACACACAATCAAGTGAGATTCACTTCTTAGTCCAGTAGACCCCAAAACCACACTGTCTGCCACATGGGATTTTGGCTGTCAACTGCTAAACATGATTGGGAGAGTTTAGGATATACAGATTATAAAAAAGCAGCCCATGTAGGTGAAAGCAGTATCTTCTGAAGCATCGCTTGCAAGAAGTGCTACTTACAGATATATCATCACTGAAGTCAATTTCATCCAAATCAAGGTATTCAGGTGCTTCCATTATTCCTCTTTGCACATTTTGAGTAAAGTCAAATACTTATAAAAGTCCTGGAAAAGACAAAAGCAAAAAAGAAAAGCAAATGAGTTAGCTGTTTTATAACCCAAACTTCCATCTATAGTTAAATAAACAAAAATGATTGGGATAACTGGGGGCTAGTGCTGCCTTCAAGCATACGTTTGCTCGTCAGATGTCCCTGCCTGGCTTTCTGGAAGCAGGGAGCTCAGTTCCTCGGGCTCCCTAGGGAGCACCCCAGGTCCTTTGCTTCACTTCATCTGTGTTCACTTGTTTGTGCCAAGGCAGTGACTGAGATCAGCTGCTTCCCCAGTGACCAGTATTAGGATGCACCCAGCCCACACCTAGCACTTACCACGCCCTGGGTGGAAGCAGGGCTTTGGTGATGGGGAGCACGCCTCAAAATCTAGGATATTCATCATATCCCAATGTTTACTATGGGCATATCCTTGGAAGCCGAGCATGGAGCAGTAAGCACTGGATCCCCACTAAAATAACCCAAGTACAAGACAGAGACCAACTAACCAACTGTAATGGCTACTTCAGATTTTGTAGGCCAACGTCCAGTTCACCCCTTCCCCCAGCTTCTCCCATCTTCAAAAAGAAGGATCCAGGCATAGATGTAAACCACAGAGTTTCCACATGGCTCCGGGCTTCTCACAGCTCTGCCTGACTGTGCCACAGTGACCTGAGGCCGGCGCCAGAATGTCCTCCGTCAGCACTTGCCTCAGGGCTGCCTGTAGCAACCCTTTAAATCTGTCAAGGAAGATATATCACCTCCCGGCTTGCTTTCCCATCACTTATCATCATCACCATTGGTGGTGGCAGTGGCACCTACAGATGTCAAGAACAGAGATATAGATCTCCGGGCAGTGCCTGAGTGCACAGTATCTCCTGCAGAGCTGACTCACAGAGCCAACAAGGGTCCCCTTACCCTAACTGGTCTTTCTTATTATAGAAACTGTCTGAGGTGCTCAGAATTGAGCATCTGAAATAATTTATTCTTTCCCCTTTCAGTTCTCTAATCAAGGGTTATCTTGATTAGACAGAGAAATAAGAAGACTAAGGAATACATTACTGGAAAGTGAAAAGAAGTCCAGGCTGAGGAAAATGAGTTTAATTAATGATGAAACTGGGTGTAATTAATATAAGATCAAGAGTTTAAAAATGACTATTTTTGAAAAGGAAACTCTTACTCTGGAGGCACTGCTTTGCCGTTTTGAGATCTTTTCTTTTTTTAAGCTGCACAAATCACTTAATTACAATAAATGAGAGAAAAATCACTTGCCCTTCATACCTCAAAACCGTCACTTAATTTCCAGTGTTTCTTCTCTTCCTCTTCCCACAGCATGTACCATTTTTATGTATTTTTAATTATAGTGGATATAGAAATGATCCAAGAAAAGATTAGGATGCTACCACCACGTTCAAATGAGATTATCCACTTAGAATAAATATTAAAAGCTCTCTCAGGGGTGCCTGAGTGGCTCAGTCAGTTGAGCATCTGACTTTTGATTTTGGCTTGAGTCATAATCTCAGCGTTGTGAGATAGAGCCCTGAGTCGAACTCCACACTGGGCTTGGAGACTGCTTACGATTCTCTCTGCCCCTCCCTCCCCCTTCTCCCTCTCTCTCTAAAAAAAAAAAAAGTAATTTTTGAAATCACATTAAGGTTTAAAATGAAATGAAATCAATTTGTATTTGTTATATATAATATTATATATCAAGATTACATTATGCATTAAAATTAACATAATATTAGTTACATAATCATACTAATTACATATGATTAATATATAATTATAATTAATATAATTATAATCATTTTAATAATAAATTATGTTGAATAATATTAATGTTTTATATATTTACATATTATTGTATTTGTTACATACTTTTTAGATATACATATACATCCAGGACTTTTATTATTTATGGAAATTTAAAAGTAGATTAAGCAAATTGCTTGGTACAAAAATATGTAACTTTTCCTCTAATCCTCACAAAGATTTTCAGAGAAAAAAATGCACACTCATACTTGCAAATTACACAAAATGACTTTCTCTTCCATTCTGGTTGATTCTGAGACAATCTAGACTACATGGATTCTAGCTCATCAACTGGTCAACTTTCTTCTAATCTAGTTTCTTTTCACTACATCCATACTCCACGATGAATTGTTGACCTACAGACTCTATTCCTGTGGTCTTGGTGAGCACAAGATGATGTGGGTGTCTGCATGGGGTGAAGACAAAAACAACATCACCGGAAACAAAGATTCACGAAGCAAGAAAAAGTACTGAAACTGAAGATCGAGCGGATCTTTAAATATGTAGACATACAGATGAAATATAAAATGCACATGAACACATCTTTTTTTTAAATTTTTTTTTATTTACTTATGATAGTCACAGAGAGAGAGAGAGAGAGAGAGAGAGGCAGAGACACAGGCAGAGGGAGAAGCAGGCTCCATGCACCAGGAGCCCGACGTGGGATTCGATCCCGGGTCTCCAGGATCGCGCCCCGGGCCAAAGACAGGCGCCAAACCGCTGCGCCACCCAGGGATCCCCACATGAACACATCTTAACGAGACAAATTAACAAGTAATCATCAAGCCCCTTTTTGAGGTGTTCTGATAACATAAACAACAATATCCATTCTAGCACAGTCATTCTAATGGGACATAGCCAGTGGGCTTGGAGACTGCTTACATGTCATATGAGGCATGACATTAAAGCAGATGATCTTCATGTTTAGACTTTGAGATAGTAGTGAGAGTCTTTATTCCATAGACAAGAAGACAAGAATTACAGTGGTTCCAGCTCATGAAGAGCTGGGCCACTGCCCATGTTTATTGCAGCAGGTTGGGGGGTCCAGCCTCAGACAAAGGGGTCCATAGCATCCACAACCTTCCTCTCCTAACGGGCTTTCCCATGCAGCCATCTCCTGGAAATGCCTTATTCTCTCTACCACTCAATTCCTCTTGTCTGGTTTCAGGGCTTCTCTCTCTCAAGGTGCCACCCTGGAAGAGTCAACCTCCCCAGTTACAGAGTGCAGCAATCCCTATGGTTCACCAATCTGGCCACAGTTCCAATATTCATTGCTCCTTTTCAGTAGAGAGTGAGACCCCAGCTGTCCCAGTGGTCATTACATGGCTTCCACATCCACTGAAAATCATCCAACAGGATAAGGAAACTGAGCTGGGTTGCAGGTGCTTTTCTCATCCTGCCCCAGTGGCACCATCCTGCCCCACATCCCACCTCACACTGGAAGCCAGGGTGCCCCCTTTCTTGACCACATGCTTGAAGGGAATACACACGGCCAGAGAGGGCACACACTGGAGGCCCATGAGTGGAGTCTGGCCCACAGATGTGATGTGTCTGGCCCTAGCAGTGTTTTTCAAAAAAACTGAGTTAGTTGCCAATTTGTAGACCTTGGGTGATTTCACATAAAATTCTGGATTACTTGCTTTGCTTTAAAAAATATCTGAAGCTATGGCCAACACAGATCCACATTCCCTGTGACAACTGGCTGGAGCTAAGCTGCTTCATGTATGGGCATGGGCTCCCAGTTCACCAGCTCCCCTTCTTTGGCTCTCCTCACTGAGGAGCCCTGCCCCACCTTGGGGGGAATGTGAGTGTTTGAGCCTTCAAAGAAATTCAGCATTAAACAATAAGTATCATAGCCACCTCTTTTTGTTACTCTTGCCTCCTGCCAAATAATGTTTACTTCGTCTGTATTCCGAGATCAAATTTGTATTCTAAGATTGTTTTAAATTCTCATGCCACAACAGGAACAATAAAATTTCTTCCAAATAAATTACCAGCTCGTTATAATTTATACTTTCACACAGCCTCCATGTTCTCTCCTAGGATTCGGAAAAGAAAACCTTCACAAAAGTCATAAAATGTTGCAAGGTGGGGATTACGTTTCCTTTATTTTACAAGTGGAGGAAGGAAGGGTTCTTGCTTCATTGTGACGGCTGCTGTAGATTTTCCCTTTGCTCTTGTGACCAGAGGGAAGGGCACAAGTGCTGTCAAGTGCAAGGCCAGTAGACAACCAAGGTCATCCTCCCTCTGGCCAGACTAGCAGCTTGGACGCATGACGGCTAACTTCACGCACAGCCCACAGAGTGGGTTTACACTGAGGTGAAAAATACTTCTCAGCCTCCCCAAAAAGTGTGGTCTTGCTGCAAATCCTTTACATGAGATTTTTATTGCTATGCCTTATAGTTGGCCTTGGGATCTCAAAACCCCGTCATTTATAAATTTGTGCTGTGCTCGCATCCCCATCAGCCCTGCCCCTGCAAGCTATAGTCACTTGCACCAGGTTCTCTGAGGTCACAAGGGCTTTCTTTTGTATTACTGCCCCCTTCACCCCAACAGACCTTCTTCCAAGATCTGTCTACCTTTGGTACTGGTGACTCACTAAAATTCCATTTCAGGCTCAGCAGGGCTTTTCCTTTGTCCTCATGGATGTTAGCAATTTTCAAGTTGTTAATTGCTTAGGCAGGTACATTCTGTGTTTAATTTTTTTAAGGGTGGGGGGAAATGAAGATCTAAGCTAGATAGTGAGTGGGAGGATAGAGAAATAAAGAAAATATTTTCTAATGGTTGAGTGCTACCAATCTCAGTAGGAAAATTTATAGGAAGGAAAAGAAAGAACATATTAGACTGTGGGGACACAGGGCTAGGTGACTGGGACCTGTATGCTGTGCAGAAGCTGTTGGTGACACCTTCCCTTCTTTTTTGATGTGCCTGAGGTATCGGGAGAAACATCACCCAAATTCTGAGCAGATGCTCAGCTAGAGGAGATAAAGGACAATGAGCACCAATTGTACACAATGTCTGCAGGACTTTTTTCTACTCTCATGGAGTTTTGATAAACTGCCAAAAACAGAAGTCCCCCCAGTGCCTATTAAAGTGTACAGAAGGGGCTCATGGCCCTAATGGGTCTATCAACACCATGTCACCCTCTCATAAGGGACCTCAGTGATGGCCCAACCACTTCCTTCCAGGGAAGATTCAGTCTGGGGA